ACACATGTATGGAGATCATAGGGCAGCTGTCAGGAGTCAGCTCTCTCCTGCCACCTTGTGGGATCTGGGGATCAGAGCAACTGCTGATACATGGTAAGCCATTTCCCACCCGACTCACTCCCACTTATTTATTTTCTCGCGTGCGTGTGCGTGTGTGTGTGTGTGTGCGTGCGTGAGTGCGTGTGTGTGTGTGTGTATTAAAGTGGAAGTCAGAGGACTTTTCAGAAGTCAGTTCTTGACTTCTACCTTGTTTTTTTTTTAATTTTTAATTTATTATTTTTATTTTATGTGTATGAGTGTATTGCCTGCATGTATGTGAGTGCACCCGTGTCCTGCAGTGCCTCGGAGGTCAGAAGAGGGCTTCGGATTCCCCTGGAACTGGAGTTAAGGACAGTTTGTAGCCACTGTGTGGGTGCTGGGAATCAAACCCAGGTCCTCTGCAAGAGGTCCTCTGCTCTTAACCGCTGAGCCATCTCTCTAGTCCCGACTTCCACCTTGTTTTTGAGGCAGGGTCTCTGTTTTTGCTGCTGTTCTGGGTACCCTAGGCTACCTGGCCTCCGAGCTTCCACCTCCCATTTCGATGTAGTATTTCTGTGACTACAGATTTGAGCCACAGCATCTGGCGTCTACATGGGTTTGGGGGAATCAAACTCAGGTCAACAGGCTTGTGAGGCAAATGCTTTTACTCACTGAGCCATCTCCCTGGCCCTCATCTTTTTATTTTAATCACACATATTTCCAGCATCATTGAGGTCTGGGTTGTTTTTTGTTTGTTCATCTATTTGCATTTTTTGAGACAGGGTCTTGTTATAGTACTTAGGCTGGTCTTGAATTTGTAGGCTCCTCTTACCTCAGCCTCCCAAGTAACTTGGAGTAAGAATGTGCATGGATTTATGAAGTATTTTGTTAAAGTTAAAAATATTCTACTTTGGAAGTAGATGGTTGGGGGAAACACATTCTCTAGAAAAGAGACATAATTGAGGGTGGGACAGTTAGGGGGCATGACTCCAGTTTTCCCAAATTTTTCATGCCAGTGAAGAGTGAAGAAATAATCTTCCTTTAAGCCCCGCCCTTCCAGTAAGGTGTGAAAGCCTAATCTTCCCTTAAGTCCCACCCCTCTAGGACTACAACTCCCAGGAAGCTGTGCTCTCACACTCTTGGATTTAAATAAGATTCTGGACTCTGCTTAAAGCCAGCCTGTTGCTGAGCACCCTGGGGTAAGAGGAGCCGAGTCAGCTGAAGCTGCCAGGAGTTGGGGCCAGATCAGGATCCTGAAGCCAGGTGAAGGCTGAAGTTGGAACAGCAGCATCTAAGGAGGCTGGAAAGATGCTGATGATCTTGGGACTGCTCACCTCTTTCCTCTCAGTCTTGTATCTGACAGCTCCATCCATCAGGTTTGTCTTAACACAACAACTCGATAATTGTTTACACAGTCCAGTATTGGTAGCGGGTTCTCGGCTGCTAAAAGAAGAGCAAGGGAAGGTGGTAAAGGACAGAAAATTAGTGCAAGAAAGAAGGAGGGATTATAGGTGCTGTGGTGGAAAAAGAGAAGGAAGCACCTGGGTGGGTGGAGGTGGGGCTGATTTGAATTCTGAGGCTAGGGGAAAGTTGAGTGGATGACTATAAAGTAGTTCAATAGCAATTTAGGTGAGAGTCCAGGCCCTTTCGTTCAATTCCCCTAGGCTTTTTGGAAGTGCTCCCTTTTTTCTCTGTCCTTAGGTAAGTCTGGTTGTCATGGGGGCTCGCTGTTAGGTACTAGGTACTTGGGGAAGGAAACAAAGTCCCTTGCCTTGATACTCCTTTCAGTAAAAGTTTGAGGATTGATCCTTTCACTGTGGGATTCCTAGAGATGTCAAAGAAATGTGTGTTTGGCATGGAGAATTTTTAAATTGTTGATGATGAAGAAGGTTAAATAGACATATTGAAGATACAGTGTCATGTCAGGTCCTGGCATAAAAAAACTGGATTCAAATTCCATTCCTTCTACCACCAGAAGTGACTTGGACATCTTTGGGCTTCAGTTTACTCCATCATAATGTGGAAATAATACTGGAATGACCGGGATTATTAATATAAATGATTTATGGAAAATGGCTCTCCTGGGAAAGATAGTGTATGTGGAAAGTGTCTAGCCTAGTACCTGGCAGTTGCTGATGCTCAGGAAATGTTTAGTTTTACTTTTCTTTTCAACAAGTGAGCCTTCTCTGTGTATGCCAATGGTCAGAATAAAATCTTTAATACAATGGCAGAAAGTCTCCGAGGAGCCCTATTCTCTAAAACTAGAGAGGCAACCAAGGAGTGATATTTGTGTGTGTTGTACAAATGCTGTTCACCAGTGCCTATGGTACCTACTGGAAACCGAGGACTCAGGACCATTGAGCCTACTAATATTTATTGCTCATGTTTCCAATGTGCATTAGAGTAGGAAGCTGACTTCTGGGAATATCTAGAGATGAGTGTATATCTTTATCACTTGACAAGGAATGTCTCTATTGGCTTGGTTCAAGAGTACTTTGCTTGCACCATTTGTAGCCTCTGGGTACATAACCTTCCAATCTGTCGTGAGCTGGCCATAACCTTTCACAATCAAAAAGCGGTCGGTTGGGGACTGGGGAGATGGCTCAGTGGTTAATAGCACTTGCTGTTTTTGTAGAGGACCTGAGTTCAGTTCTCAACACCCATGTTGAGCAGCTCATGACTGCCAGCAACTCCAGTTCCAGGGAATCTGATACCTCTTCTGACCTCCTTGGGCACGCACAGAGAGACATATGCATATACACACAATTAAATAAAAAAAATTTTTTTGGTCTTTTTGAGACAGGGTCTCCCTGTAGCCCCAGCTGTCCTGGAACTCACTATGTAGACCAGGCTGGCCTTGAACTCACAGAGATCCACCTGCTTCTGCCTCCCGAGAGCTGGGATTAAAGGCGTGCGCCACCACACCCAGCTAAATACAATTTTTAAAAAGAAGTGGCCCATGAAGATTAGCTTCTTAAGATGATAAGATGATATGATCCAACTTAAAGGTCTCTCTTTTAGCCGGGCGTGGTGACTGGGAGAGTCTGTTCCATGCCTTTAGTCCCAGCACTCCGGAGGCAGAGGCAGGTAGATCTCTATGAGTTCAAGGCCAGCCTGGTCTACATAGTGAGTTCAGGCCAGCTGGGGCTACAAGGAGACCCTGTTTCAAAAAGACCAAGAAAAAAAAATATCTCTTTTGGGGGCTAGGAAGCTTTATTTTATGAATCTCGGCATGAGTTTGGGAAGGATGGTATGTGACACTTTTTCCTCTTGGTGACAGGAAGTTCTTTGCTGGTGGAGTTTGTAGAACAAGTGTGCAGATTCCTGGGAAGGTAGTGGTCATCACAGGTGCCAACACGGGCATTGGCAAAGAGACAGCCAGAGAACTTGCTCGAAGAGGTGAGTCCTTCCTCTTCTGTCTCCACAGGGCCATGCCTCCTCCACTCTTCATTGGACCTCTGCTTGCATTGCCTCCTCTTTCTTCCTGGGCTTGGAGGTTATGACAAGAATTCAAGGAGACTGGAGTCCAAGTCCAGTATGACTCTGACTGTGGCTTTCAGCATACTTCCTTCCTTCCCTAACACAGAGAGTGAGGAAAATAACATCTCTGTCTAATATAGGTCGTCAGTTATTCTAAAATAGGTACTAAGCAGAATTAAATACCAGAGTATAATGCTTGGGTTCCCAGCACTACTATGAGAATCTAGAAGTGGCAATATGGCCACTCCACTGCTCTAAGGGTGAGTAGGAGCATGCTGTGTGCACCATTCCCAACCTCATTTATTGTACTTCTGAATACATTGGTCTTTTTGTTTTGGCTCCAGGAGCACGAGTATACATTGCATGTCGAGATGTACTAAAGGGAGAGTCTGCTGCAAGTGAAATCCGAGCAGATACCAAGAACTCCCAGGTGCTGGTGCGGAAATTAGACCTATCTGACACCAAATCCATCCGTGCCTTTGCTGAGGGCTTCCTGGAAGGTGAGGTTCCAGTGAGTGGCCAGGAAAGCAGGAAACTGAGTATGGGAATGACTGCTCCACCCTGGACCATCTATGTTCCTTGCATCACACCCATCATGATCCCACTGGGCAGGTTTTTCCACATGAACCAGCAGGACAGGGAATTGGCAAAGGGATGATAGGTGGACAAGCTGGGCAGGATCCTTATCGACATTTTGCTCCACAGTGGGAATCTTGGCGGTGTCATCTCCCTGCCTGGGCTTGTACCTTCGCATAAGGTGTGGCCCTAATGCTGTTCTCTTATTTCATCCAGAAAATCAACCTTCTGTGCCCATAAGCCCTAGATGAGTTTGTGCCACTGCCAAAATGCTTCTGTGTCTTTAAAATTACCAATATCTACCAAGGACTTGAGTCTTCGAAGGCCTGCCTTATTTTATCCTGGATTCCCAGGGCCCAGCAGTATAGGCCTGGTCCAGAGTTGGTAGTTAGTGCACATTGGCCATATAAATGAACAAATGATGTCCAGGAATATATGAACAAGTAAAGTTAGAAACCCAATGACAAGCTGGGTATGGTGGAGCATGCCTTTGATCCCACCATTCGGAAGGCAGAGGTAGGCAGATCTCTGTGAAACTGAGGCCAGCCTGGTCTCCATAGCAAGTTACAGGTCAGCTGAGGTTACTGGGAAACTCTATCTCAAAAATAAATAATAAATAAATTAATTAATTAAATTAAAAATTTAAAAAGAGAAAGAAATCTAATAACAATGGTGATTAGATTTATTACTGAGATAGGTCCAAAAGAGGAATAGTTAATTGACTTCTGAGGCAACACCTTATCTTAGAAGAAAGGAACAGAATGAGTGGTAACCTTGCCCAGCAAAGAGAGTTAGCAGATGGAAGCAAGGGGAAAACACTTAAGATGGTGACAGGTGGCTGTAGATACCTTGCTAACAACAGGCTCTCCCTGATTGTACACAATAGAGGAAAAGAAGCTCCATATTCTAATCAACAATGCAGGAGTGATGATGTGTCCATATTCCAAGACAGCAGATGGCTTTGAAGCCCACCTGGGGGTCAACCACCTGGGTAAGTATCCTTAGATGGCTAAAACGTGAGGCATTCCTTACCTCGTTCTCTGTAGGAAGATGGCCCTGTGCCAGTGATTAGGACTGCCAGTGATCCCCATTGAGCACAGAATTCCATTCACTAGACACATTGCTTATTTGCACTGTCCTTCTAACCAGCCTGAAAAAGTGAGTCTCCTGCCCATACCAACCAGAAGCCCCAGTCCCAGGAGTTACCAAGGAAAAGAATGCCATTCTTGGATGGGGCAGTGGCAATAGAGAGCTTACTGGGCATGGCCAGCCTGTGGGTATGCAGGAATCTGGGTTTGGCTGGAGAAGTCTGTATCCATGTGAACCTTGAGAACTTGAGATACGAGATAGGCTGGGCTTCAGAGTACAAGGTGATGATTCTAGAGGGGACACTGTGGGCCATGTTCTTGGATCCTAAGCGAATGTTATTTTCCATGAATATTCTAGCTTTCCTTCTGTATACGAGTATATGAAGGCCCGTGGTTATACAGAGAAGTTTGAAGCCAGCAAGAAGGGTGTGGAAAGGATACAAACAAATATAGATTAAATATTATTGTCTTACTAGAGTCTAAACTTTGGTCTTGCTCTGGAGAATCCACTAACTCAGACCAAGTGACCATTAGCACTGAATTACTCATGGCATCAAACTTCGTTCACACCTAGAAGATAGTGAGCTGATACTGAAGTTTTGTCATCAGCTCCCACACCCTGAGCTTAAGGCCATTCTATCCTTCAATTTTTCTGCTGTTCTTCCTTACAGGCCACTTTCTTCTTACATATCTGCTTTTGGGACGGTTAAAGGAGTCTGCTCCTGCACGGGTGGTAAACCTGTCATCAGTGGTCCATCTTGGGGGCAAGATTCGTTTCCATGACCTCCAGGGTGAGAAGCGTTACTGCAGAGGTTTTGCCTATTGCCACAGCAAGCTGGCCAATGTGCTTTTCACTCGAGAGCTAGCCAAGAGGATCCAAGGTAAGTATGGAGAAAGTACCAAGGCTTAAATAATAAAAACAAGGTCCATAGTCTAGATTATAGGTTCATAATCTAGAATCCTGTGCAACCAACACATTTCAGTCATGTTCTGTATGGTCTAGAGAATGGTCTATAATAGCTGTGCTTTTGATTTTGAGTGTGTGAGTTTATTTGGTATATTACAAGCAAAAGTAAAAGAATAAATAGCAAGTCACAGATATAGAGAAGCAGCAGACAGGAAGCAAACTATCATCAAATGAGGTGTTCATGACATCCAGTAGAGACTACTAGAGTATCCCAACTGAGAGAGCAAATGAAAGGTAATATCCAGCAGAAATCAACAGGGGAAGCTCAGTTGTGGCAGTCAGATGGAGTTCCTGATTGAACTCCAGGCAGAGCAGAGAAGTCCCTCCAGTGATGCTTTCAAGTAAAAGAACAAAGAACAGCAGATAGAGATAATGCCACGAAATCTGGCACTTACAATATCCAGTTCTCACTCCAGGAATTTTTATATTATGGGATAACAATAGTAACTTCAGTTGGAAATAGCTGGCCTTGTAGCTGTTCTCAAGGACACAATGTTTTAACGCCCTAAGCTGCTGGCTGTTTTTTCCCTCCTCTCATTACAGAGTCAGGGGACCAGCCTGACTCAGGACAGGAGATTTTGGAGGACACAAGATGTGCTTGGGTCTGAAGTAGGAGGAAGGGTAGCCCTGATTCTAGAGTCAGTTTCTCAGAGAGTTCAAAGAGCACGTGGTGATTTACTAGTATAATGTACATGACATAAAGGAACTCTGTGAACAAAGGAGAATGAGATTATGAACAGAACGGAGTCATTGCTCCCTAGGATGCTCCACATTGAAGTGGTGTCAGGAACCCCATAAAGCTACTTTATATGTGTTGCATTTTTGTTTCCTATTTGTTATTGCACTTGGTTTTTACAACAATCTTTTGTAACAGCCAGAGTGGGTATTATTCCTATTTTGTAGGTCAGAACTGAGGTCCAAGAAAATGGCTAGCTCAAGATTATATGACAGATGGAGTCATTGAATTATACTTCAGGGATTACTTCTATAGTTCATAAAGGAGTCAGACTGGAGAATGAGCACTCTGTTTTAATCCCAGAGTGCTTCCTCCTGTGTGCCATTTACTGAGCCCTGCAAAGCTACAGAGGGGCCATTGCCCACCGTCAGAGGCTAGGGATGGATTTCAGGCTCCTTGGTCTGAGTTCTTGCTCTTCCCACATATGTGGACATGTTCCTTTAACTACCCTGATTTGCCTCTTCAGCTGTAAAATGAGGTGAGGACAGGCCTTAATTTACAATAATTCTGTGCTTCCCTGGGGTCTAGATAAGCTGTGGGCTCTGACACCTGTGAGTCTGGGGGACTATTTGCTATTGTGAATAAACCAGAGTTTGGGAACAAGGATCTGTGTCAGAATACCAAGGCAGAAAAAGAGGAGAATCTTAACAATAAATAGTAATAATAGGGAGCTTTGTGTGCCATTTAAGCTTTGCTATGTGCTTACGAGGTAAGTGCTATTTTCTTCCTCCCTCTACAAATGAAGAGAAAGGCACAGATATATTAAGAAATGTGTCCAGCAATGGAATTCTTTTCAGCAGTAAAGAAAGAGGAAACAATGAAATTTGCAGGTAAATGGATGGATCTAGAAACTGTTTACTAAGTGAAGTAACACAGACTCAGAAAAATAAAAGACATGTTTTTCCTTGTTTGTGGATCCTAACAGAAAGAAAGAAAGAAAGAAAGAAAGAAAGAGAAAGAAAGAAAGAAAGAAAGAAAGAAAGAAAGAAAGAAAGAAAGAAAGAAAGAAAGAGAAAAAAGAAATGTGTCCAGATAAGTTTCCTAGCTGAGCCAGTTCAAGCTCAGCTGTCTAGTTCTGAAATTTATGCTCTTTACTCCACATTGGGCATTAGACTTTGGTCTGTAGCCTACTAGGTATGACCTTGAGCAATTTACTTAGTTTCTCTGTGACCCAGCTTCCTTAGTATGTATGGGCTTCTTAATGTTACTTATTGCATAAGCCTCTTTAAGAGTTAAGACATGGTCAGCCTCTGTCCCCTACCCTCAGTCTGGTCTCTAGTTAGTTGAGAAAGAAGGTGATGCTCCAAAAAAGAGAAAAAACAAGGTGGCACAGAGTTATTTGTCCCTGAATGTGGCACCTGTGTCTGACAGAGCCAGTATATGAGATGAAGAGACAATCCCTTACCACCAAATAATCAAGAGTTTTGGTCAGACCTTTGGATACGTATTGAGACAGCAAGGAGCCAGGCAATATGGGCTGAAATGGATTAATAAGGAACTTAGTGACTTGGCCCACTATCCTACAGCCTGCAGGTTTGCATGTCTCTATGGCAAGCCACCTATTAAGGAGCCTGACGACAGTCCATATCAAGGTAGTGTATTCTTTTTGACAACTCGCTTTCTCACAGGGCTACCCCTGTAAACCAGCTGCATTTACAAGGCTGCATTTGCAGCCAGAATTTGTCATCCAAATATTAACAGTGATGACAGCATTTGTTTTGATATTCTAAGATCACAACAGTCTTCCACTTGAACTATTTCTTAAGTTATTTTATCCAGTTTACTCACTGCTATGTAATTCAAACCTACATGATTCACTAGTGCCAGAGATTGCACAGATCTGTAAAACAGACAGACACACAGAGGACAGAACATCTCAGGTCAGGATGGACTCAGAAACATGCCATGCGATGCCACCTTAAACTTCGAACAACATGCATTAGAACCAGAATAAAATTTAAATTAGTGCTCCTATTTTGATCTTTGTATCCAATCACCCTCCTATCAGACCTTATCTTCATTTTAGTTATTTTATTTTTTGTTTACCCCCCCTCCATTGATTCACATGCTCCCCTGAGAAGACTTAAATTCTTCTAGCTTTGCATAATAACTAATTTTAGAAAACATGAAGTGACACCGAGGGGGAACGCAGCAGCATGGGTGGCAGTGGCAGCATTGCTGTGCTCGGGTCTGAATTGCTGAGGGAGGAGGTGGCGGAGGAGGCGAGTACGAATCAGCTTCATCAGCTTCGGGCAGAGACATGGCTAACATCGCGGTGCAGTGAATGAAGCGGGAGTTCAAAGAGGTGCTGAAGAGTGAGGAGAAGAGCAAAAATCAAATTAAAGTGGATCTTGTAGATGAGAATTTTACAGAATTAAGAAATAGCAGGACCTCCAGACATACCACATGAAGGAGGAAGCTATCATCTAGAGATAAAAGTACCAGAAACATATCCATTTAATCCCCCCAAGGTCCAGTTTATCGATAAAATGTGGCATCCTAAATTAGTTCTTTCACAGGGGCTATTTGTTCGGAAATCCTGAAAGACCAACAGGCAGCACCGATGACTCTGTGCACGGTATCATTGTCATCGCAAGCACTGTTGGCAGCAGCAGAGCCAGATGATCCACAAGATACAGTAGTAGCAATCAGTACAAACAAAATCCTGAAATGTTCAAACAGCTCGACTTTGGGCACACACACACACACACACACACACACACACACACACACACACACAAAGAAAACATGATGTGAGAGACTGAAGAGATGGCTCAGTGGTTAAGAGAAATGGCGGCTCCTGCAGAGAACCAGGATTCAGTTCTCAGCATCCACATGGTGGCTAAAAATCATTCTTAATCCTAGTTCTAGAGGAGCCTATGCCTTCTTCTGGCCTCCAAAGGCATTACATACATGAGCACACTTACATACATGCAGGCAAAACGCTTGTACACATAAAATATAAGTAAATAAATTATAGAAACTGTAATGTGGTTACAAGTGAACAGTTGGCCAAGATTGATAAACTTTTCTTTAAAACGGAGCATATATATTATATGACCAATGTCTTTGCTATAACTTGGTAATGAGACTCAATTATTCCTCAGTGCTCTAACTCACTGAAGAACAATCTGAGGGGAAAGGAGATGGATAATCAGCTGTCACATCAAAGGAAGCAGTGATGTTCTAGCAGTATTCATTCTCATGTAAGGCCACCACCATTAGAGATACATATTATGTTCATAGATGATGTGGCTGGAGAATTGATATTGAATCTATAGCAACAGAATAGAAAATGTGATGTATGTTATACCTGTCAATAAAGGAATGACCTGCTCTTGCTCTACAGAGAATGGACATTGAAGATCTAACACAAAATATCTTTGTAATTTTCATCTAAATTATCAGGAAACTTGGAGCTATTAGTTAATCCATCTTCCAACATACTGTTTAATATATAGCACCGAATAAATGATGCAAGTTGTCAGTGATGAATGATCAAAAAACTTCTAGTAACTTATTTTCCTTTTCTTTCTTTTTTTTTTTTTTTGTCTTTTTGAGACAGGGTCTCCCTGTAGACACCCCAGCTGTCCTGGAACTCACTATGTAGACCAGGCTGGCCTTCAACTCACAGAGATCCGCCTGCCTCTGCCTCCCAAGTGCTCGGATTAAAGGCGTGCACCACCATGCCCGGCTTAACTTATTTTGCACCAATGACGTTGCATAAACAAATAAAATAAAAAGAAACAAGACAATGCAGGTAAAGCTCTCAGTGCAGCCCTTGCACATAATAAGTACTGAAAACAAGGTGGCACTAGGACTGTGTTGGGGGGAGGTTACTGTCCCATAATTTCCACCAACACCCCTCAATCTGTACCTTATAAAATGTGTTTGCTAAACTAGCTCTACCCTGACCTTTCAAAAACATTGTTGCCCCAAAGCTCCTCCTATCGAAATGGGAAAGACACTACTACTAATAACAATACTGCGCCTCACATGTTTTTATTAGTTCATAAGTCCCCATGTAAAGATAACATGGAAATAGTACTTTTGGAACATAGAAAGCTGAGAAGGTTATATAGATCTTTCTGGAAGAGGTCAGTTCATTTATTGGGTCGGGTGAATGGAGCCTTTTGAATCCTAGGCTTGGGTTTCTGAAGTCCCGTTCTTCATCCTTAGAGTATTTTGCTACAGGCTCAGAGCAGGACCCTGGTCTCACTGTGTCGTCTTTGCCCTAGGGACGGGGGTCACCACCTATGCTGTGCACCCAGGGGTCGTCATGTCCGAGATAGTCAGGCACTCTTTCCTTCTCTGCTTGTTGTGGCGGCTCTTCTCCCCATTCTTCAAGTCCACTCGTCAGGGGGCTCAGACCAGCCTGTACTGCGCCCTGGAAGAGGGTCTGGAGCCTCTGAGCGGCAAGTACTTCAGGTAGGAACTGACAGTGCAGGGTGTCTCCCCTCTCTGGGCACCAGCCAATCATAGCTCTCCTTAGGTTTTGTACCTATCAAACTGTTAGTGCCTGATGATGGAATCCGGTTTGGGTTGGGTCTGCAAACCAATTGCTGATAGTATTCCAAGGAAAGATTTGCTTCTGTGGTTGTATTTTACACCTGTGTGCCACGTTTCTGAAAGCACTGTAGTTTCTCAAAGCTGTGGGAGGCTGTCCTTGTTGGCTATAATGGAAGAATGTTAGAGGACCCTCTGGATTCTTTTCATTTTCCTTTGAGATTTTGGTTTATTTGATGTAGGAATTCTTTGATATCACTTAGCATAAAGTACTAAGGGAAGTCATGTCTCCTCAGTGTGAACCTTACCTCTCAGTGTTGTCAACATTAGCACTGCCAGTTTAAGCATAGCAACAGAACTTTGAATACCAAATGTAAACACAAACTCAGTGTGCAACCAGAGGAAGAGAAATCCAGAATAAACTCTCTTTGCCCTTCCATGACTTAATCCAGCCCAATTCATTCTGCTCTTTGTTAAGTGATGCATCATTTGTTAAGCGAAACACTGGAAGGAACTTCGGTGTCCAGCAATAAGGGAATGGGTAAATGGTAACAGCGAATATTGATTTAGCTCTTACAATGTGTGTGACATTCATCTAAGTATGTTATGTATATTCATATATGTTATGTATAATCATCACAACTCTGAGAGGTGGTAATTTTATCCCCATCTTACAGATGAAAATGAGGTAAGAAACTTAAGTTCAGGGGCTGGAGAGATGGCTCAGCGGTTAAGAGCACTGACTGCTCTTGCAGAGGACCTGGGTTTGATTCCCAGCACCCACATGGCGACTATGAACTGTCCTTAACTCCAGTTCCAGAGGAATCTGAAGCCCTCTTCTGACTTCCATGGCATTGCACAACATGGGTGCACTCACATACATGCAGACAATACACTCATACACATGAAATAAAAATAATAAATAGCGAGGCGTGGTGGCACACACCTTTAATCCCAGCACTTGGGAGGCAGAGGCAGGTGGATCTTTGTGAGTTTGAGGCCAGCCTGGTCTGCATAGTGAGTTCCAGGCCAGCTGGGGCTGCAGGATGACCCTGTCTTAAAAGCACCAAGAGGGAGCGGGAGGGGGAGAGGGAGAGGGAGAAGGAGGGGAGAGAGAGAGAGAGAGAGAGAGAGAGAGAGAGAGAGAGA